CACACACACACACACACTCACTCACTCTCACATACATGCGCATACACATTCTCTTGTCTATTGATGGGGGGCGTCATCTGCTGAAAACTGGGTCCAACGTCCCATGAACATTTTGAATAAAGCACCAACCGGGAACCCACACACACACGAACAAAGCACCAACCGAGGGCCTACACACACACGAACAAAGCACCAACCAGGGGCCCACACACACACACTCTTCGAGTTGTGTATAGCGAACATGACAAAATATACACTATGAGACACATAACATAATCACTACCTTACCCTTTCCCAACCACATCGACGGGCTGCGCACCCGTGCCCTCATGGTAAGTTCGCAACCCCAAGGTTGCGGTATAGTGGGCTTCTACATTTGTGTCAAGGTGTCGCATTTTCGGCGGCAGGCGATAAGGACGCAAACTGGGTTCTTAGGGGGCAAAAAAAATTGGGGGACCAGCCCTTGGATAAATTGCGGACTACCTACAACTAACTCTTGTAGAACTGGGACTTTTGGAAAAAGGAAGGACCGGTCCTCGGGTGGAAGCGGACCCCAAAACGAAGTGGGGGCTGTTGGACCGGTCCTCGGGTGGAAGCGAACCCCAAAAGAAGTGAGGGCATGTGAACTGCAAAACGGCCCTCAAGCCCAGGCGTTGAGGCCCGTCTCCTTAAAACAGGGAGGTCAGGTGCAACGAAACAGGCGTTTTGCAAGAGGCAACTTCGGCGATTCTCCGTGCTCGGAGGAGCCCACATAAATATATGAAAATTATAGAATCCATAGATGAGGTCGTGTTCTTTCTAGGAAAAATATTAGAACATTTTCAAAAAATCACTTAGACCGCGAAATAATCGCCGCGCCGATTCGGCACATTTTCCATTTTTGCCACTTAGCCATATGTGGGCCAGCTGAAAAAAACAGTCAAAATTCAGTGAGTTTTCACGCTCAGAACAATACGTGAAAACACCTGAAAATTGGAGTACTCATAGATTTTGTTATGCTCTTTCTAGGAAAAACGCTAAATAAATTTAAAAAAATCATTCCAAATGTGAAATAGATCGCGACCGCAATTTCACCCATATTTCAATTTTGCCATTCAGCCTCTTTCTCCCTCTCTCTCTCTCTCTCTCTCTCTCTCTCTTGCCAGTGTGCACGCTCTTAGTCTCATTGCTTTGGCTACCTTAGGGCTGCGTTTCCCGTGTCCACGCGGTAGACAATCAATTCATAGCCAGGAGGTTGCGCTATACCCGATTGCGTTTTGGCTTTCCCGATCGGGTAACATCGACGACCTTATGAGGGTTTAGATAGGCTTAGAGGAGGTGGGAAAATGAAGTCGAAGGGTGGGGTCCTGGTCATAAGATGGATTGGTCGTTGAGGAGGTCCTAGCAGAGGAAAATAGCGAAGGACCAGCGGTGGCCTACAGAGGTCATGAGGTGGTCGTTTTGGACGACGCCCAGGGGTTTCTTATTCAGGCTAGGCAACTTCGAAGTTCCACAAATCAAGAGGCAACCTAGAGGCAACGGGGGGCGTTCGGGAGGGGCGGAGGATCAATTGTTAGCCGACAGCCAATGAACGAGTGGACGGACGAAAAAGAGGGAAAAACAACAACAACAATGAAAGACATGTGCAATACTTTCTGAAATGGATATGGCGGCCATTGGTGGTAGAATGTGGCGTCCTTAGCACATACTCACATCGACACTTTCCAAAATGCATAGAACCTTTAAAAAAAAAAAAAAAAAAAAAGCATGCACACAGTCTGCCTGTGCTTCAGTAAAACCGCCTTTGAATCCTGCCGTGTGTGTTTCCGTGTTTACTAGACCACATATTCGCAACTATTTCTCGCTTATCCCGGCATGTAGCCAACCCGAAAAAGAGGGGAGCCTGCTTCGTGCCTCTGTTTCTGCAACATCCTCGCTCCCTCCGGGATGCCCCTCCGCGCTGTGTACGGCACACAGTATTTGATTAGAACATTAGTTCTTTTTTCTGGGGAAAATTTTTGAGATGCCCCTCAAATTTCGATTATCTTGCCGTGTGCCCCTCTGAACTTCTGAAGGCCGACTTACCCTGTCGTGCCCTTGGGGCCTCTAAAGGTTTCTGCAGGCCCCTGTCAGCATGGGGCACAACTTTCCGCTCGCTATGCCCTTACCTGACCGCGGGTGGCCTTTCGTCGGTCCCTCCTCGAAATGCCCTCACGAGCTGAGGGGCATGAATCTTTTTGTGACGCCCTTACATCAGGCCACCGAAAATGTTGCA